AAAAACATCAGGAAAAAGTCATAAGCATACAAACGGTAGGAAAAAAAAGTTGCTACAATCAATGTTCAATAACACAAGTCAGCCAGTATTATTTCAGGAAACTCACAATCTGAAGACACCTACTGCCCTCAACAGGGAATGAATTAGAAGGTTCTTAAATAATCAGAAAAATTAGCACTTCCTCTTTATTCCAAAGACTGAAAAACATGGTTAAGAAATTTCAGATATTTGGCTTAATGACAATGTATCTGTTTGTAGCTGCTAAGGAACGTTCCACCCCTTTGATATTTCAGTCTATAGCTACTTTTCAAATTTCAATCAGTATTTTCCCTACAACATCATTCATTAACTTCTTCCAAAAGCAGGAATGCAACACCAGCTACCTTTAAATGCTGGCATTTTATTCTTCTAATTACACTGCTTATTTTGCCTTGACTTATTTTTTTTCCAGACTGGTTTTAGGAATAAAACAATATGATTATTTTGATTTTCCCTCCCCATACTGTCTCTAAACACTCAAGAGGTAAGATTTTAGTTGCCATAACTAAAAAAACATATTTGTTTTTGAAACGATATCTGACAGACATATAAACAAATAGCAAGGTTTATCCTCATAGCAACGTATCATCTCCTCATCACCCAAAGCAATTAAAGTTTAAAACAGGACAACCCTCTTGTATAAACAGAGTTTAGTAAGAACAAAACCTTCCTCACAAATACAGTTCTTAGGAGAAAAATAAACTCATCCTCAAATTCCCTTGTACTTGTACTATCTTGAAAATTAACTTTTTCTAGCAAGTAAAAGTAATCATCATTTTTTTGGTAGCATCTATGTTCTCCCCTTCTCATGGAAAAAACAAACAAACAAACAAAAAAAACTGCTATGGGAAAGCTAATCCAAGGGCCAAAACAGTGTTTAAATTTTCTCTTCCATAAACTAATTTCTGATTAAAAAGTAAAAGAATTATACCATGAAAAAGAAATGTGACAAAACCCACTGAATTATATTACGTTTAAAAAAGTTAACATTTGGGGCGCCTGGGTGGCTCAGTTGGTTGAGCGACTGCCTTCAGCTCAGGTCATGATCCTGGAGCCCTGGGATCGAGTCCCGCATCGGGCTCCCTGCTCAGCGGGGAGTCTGCTTCTCCCTCTGACCCTCCCCCCTCTCATGTGCTCTCTCTGTCTCATTCTATCTCTCTCAGATAAATAAATAAAATCTTTAAAAAAAAAAAAAAGTTAACATTTAACACACACTCTTTTCTAATAAAGACCACATAATAAGATTAAAAGCAATTTGGAAAAAAGTTCTTTCAGAAAACCACTAAATATGTGATTAAAAAGTCCCACTTATCTTCTTTCCTTGCATCACTACATGATTGAGTAAATTATGCCATCTTTATAATTTGTATAATCTCAACTTCCAAGAAAAAAATATTTAGAACTATCTTTAGGATACCAGGGATACTGACATATTGACACATTTTATATATAAGAATGGGCATTTGCAGATTTTTCTTAGTATCTCTGAAGTACATAAAATTTTTTAAATCTCAGAATGTGTTAAATTTGATCCAATACATGCTATTCCAGTGGGATAAAAACCATTTACAAGCTCCACTTAGATTAAGAAATCCTTTGAGAAAAGTATGTGGTACATTCTAGTTATACTATTTCTAGAACACGAAAAATCTCTATAACCTATTTCCCTACTGTTTTTCTCTGGAACCAACTGAGCTAAATGTATCTTCCTTCACAAAACGTCAAGACAGTACTACACTTAATGACAGAAAGCTAACTGAATTTTCAGCAGAGGCTGAAGTTTTAACAAATTAAAACTTTCTATTTCACTTGAATGGTCTATAAAAATAATAACATGAATTGAAATAGATTCAATTGAGTATTATTTGCAGATACAAGACACACGTGCACACACACAGTAAAATGAAGAGTGTAGCTTCATCTTAAAACCAGGAGTAGGGAAGAAAAGGGAAGCCTTGAGAAAATGTTTTCTTCATTCTCTTAAGCCATTTAAAATCATTTTTAAAATAAAATCCCCTAATGAAAGAAGTTCATCCTTAAGCAACACTCTCCTTTACAAAGCAATGAGTTGAAAGTTATTGCTAGTGAAGCTGAAGGACAGTACAAAATTTTCTTTTCCTGCATTTTGTGATTTGATTTTAACTATCTCATCCTAATAAAATTAAAGACTTGTCTATGCAATTTTATGGAAACAAATTTTATATAATAAGTTAATTTAAAATAAGTTAATTTAAAGTAATTCATGTTCAAAAACCTTCCTATAGAAATCATCTATTCATCTAAAGAATTCAACTATTGAACCTGGCAGAAAAGTATTCCAACCTATCACAAAGAAGAACAAACCAAATCCACGAAGTATGAAGTTGCAATGTTCTTCAAGTTATATCTAAAAACTTAAATGATACAAAAATATTCTGAAATTACAGCTCCCAATTTCCTATCAAAATGTCAAAAAAATTTAAATACCTCCTTCAAATGTACTAAAGATCCCAAAGTGAATTCATTTTGACTTTCAAGTGCAGAAACTAAGAATCTAATGATTGCAAGAGGAAAGTATAGAGTGAAGAAAATTACTTGAGAATATATTTAGTGAGCTAAAATATCTTTACAAAAGATGTATTAAAATCATTTACACTTTTCTGCCGAACAGTCCTCTCCTAGAACACACTGCTTACAAATCAGCCAAGTATGACTGCTAAGGGTTTCCTAAACCTGTGTGTTGGTATTATTTGCAGGTACAAAGTGGAGAGCTTCTCCATCAGTGTATGACGAAAGAAAATGATAGGTACTTTTACTGAGAGTTGAAGATCAATTGTATTAAACATGTTCCTACTGATAAACTAAATACAAGTAATTTTTTAAAGAAAAACCTCAAGTTATAACTCAGGACAAGGCTTGCTATATAAATTGCTTACAAGTCTCAGAGAGTAGGGATTTAGTTAGTTTCCCCAAATTGGGGCTTAAGTGGCTAAAAGAAGAAGGAAATTTTATAAACAGCTCTTCTAACCTTGGTTTATATTTGATAAAGCAGACCATTTATCACAATCAAGTAAATAGAATGCCAAATGAAGATTCCTCAAGTATTACAGGTAAAATTTATAAAAATCAAAATACAGCAATGTGAAAAAGTGATTAAAAGGGTAACTGTATGTATTTGTATTTACACTTAAGGTATTATTACTTTTGCAAGAGGTATACTTGATGCATGAAATTGCTACTGTGACTTTTAACATTTTTACATATAACACAGTGTCTTATTTATGTTTAAACTTGAAATGTTGAAATGTATGTATCTGATCTATGTAATCCTGTTTGTTTTTCTGATAATTCTTTATTTCACAGTGGTGTGATTACAGGCTCTTCATACCATTAGTCAGGGCATTTCAATTTTGCTTTCATCAAAAAATGGACATCATCAGCCACCCCTTGCTCCTAGTTTTCTGCTTTTTAATGTAGATAATAATGACAGTGAGTGCCAACAAATGCATATAAGAGTATAGCTTTGTCATTTCTTTTCCCAGCCCCCTTCTTTTCTGTGGAAAAAAATGGGGATTTACTTTTGGGGAAAAAAAAATTCATTTTTCTTTTGCATACATACCCAATGAATTTTCGAGAGAAGACAATTTATGTTAAAAGAGAGAACTTCCCAAATCCAAAAATACTAAGTCTGATATTGGCTGGAAAGGAAATTTCCACCCGAACCATAAATATGTCATCAATAAAGCCGATCCTCAATATAACTCAGTCAGTAATCAATTTTCAATATGGAAAGGATCTGTAACCCACATATAACCAGCAGATAATCAAAATCTCGTATTTTCTTATGGAGTTCACAGATTAATTTGGTTGTATGCCAGATTTATCTTATTTTGAAATGCCTAGGCTAATATTTGTTGGTATAATCAGAGTTCACATTAAGTGTCCCGGGGAAAGGTAATTCAGTAGAATGCTTAGTAGCAGGCAGAAGCCGGTCAAAAATAGAAGGGAAGGGAAAAAAAGAAAAAAAAAAAAAACCACCACACAAAAATCCCCACGTCCCAACAGAGCGAAAAATCCACAAATAGATCACTGAAAGCCAAAAGAATACGTTCTTCTTCCGAGTAGCCTGAATAAATGATCTTCACTCATAACGTTTAAGAGTATCCTACCTCACTCAATTCACTTCCCAACTTGACTTTTCAGGGGCCAACACGGGGCATCCCTTTTTTTCTGGAAGTGTATGTTGAAAGAATCTGGATAGAAAAGACGGAAGGAACAGACAATTCCCAAGAAAGCTGTGAAACAGGTGGGTTAGAACGAGCAGCAGCATAATCTAGATACTTAAGGGGCAGCTTTAAAATGACAGATGTGGTTAAAGGAACGACTGCAAATCCGAAGAAGCGCCAGTGTGGCAGATAGAGTAGGGGCTGATTGCAAGCACAAGAGGGGGGGCAAAGGCTAACTCCAGAGTGGTAGCAATGGAGCAAAAAACAAACAGCAGGACGAGTGGGCAATGAGTAGTGGGACTGATGAGCAGCAGCAACTCGGGTCAGAGTGGAAGGGATGGCTTTGGTCTTGGGAGACGGGGGCTACGGGGACAAGGACGTCAGGGAGGGGAGAGAGGGCTGGGGAAACAAGGGAGTACGGAGACCCAAGATTTCTTCCCCTACAGAAACGTAGGGGAGAGAGGTGGAGACGAGAATCCGCCTCGGCTCCCCAATTGAAGAAATTTTCGAAGGAGTCGGTGCTCGCCGCCGCGCCGCCTTCTGCCCCGCTCCCTTTTCCTGGTGGTAACTGCTGTGGCGTAGAGGGGAGAGGGAGGAAGAAGAGGAGGAGGAGGAAGACCAAGAAGGAGGAGGGTGAAGATGAGGCGGGGGTGGGGAGAAAGGGGGGTGCGGCCTGCACAGTCCCAGCGAAGCCTCCGCTCTCTCGTAGCCGGTCAGCCCCGGGTTTCCCCTAAGCCCAGCCCCGCACAGACTCACCCGCCTGCCTTGCCTCGCTTTTCCCTTAGCCGACTCCACGCGCTGCCGCGTCCTCACGAGAGACCACTGAACGAGTGTCGGGGAAAAAACTCTTCAGAACCGGGCCTGATTGCTTCAGCGAGTCCGACCTTTACGGCTGAGAGACAGACTCTCAGCTTTCGGTGGGTTCCACAGCCAGACGGGCCACCATCTTACATTAGGGTAAGACTCCTCCGGCCTCCGGTGCGCAGGCGCACGCCGATCCGGCCGGGAGGGGCGGGGGAGGGGCGGGAGGAGAGGCGGGCGGTCGCTCCCGCAGCACCCTGGGAATTATAGTCCACGGAGGATAACCGCCCAGCTGCAAGGCGGGAGTTGAAGTTCTCGCTCGGAGGGCGGACGGGATCGCCCGCCTCACGTGGCAGCTGGATTACTGCCTTTCTTTCGTGTTTTGCTTCGTTCTCTGTCCACGTGTGAAGCTCCGCTGTCATTTGGTCGGCGGTCTTCGTTGGCTGCTCCGTTTCCTCTGTGTTTGCTCAGAAATGGAATACCAGAACTCGGGCGAGCTTAACCAATTTGGGGGGAGCCGGGAACGGCTCCTCTCTGCCCCGCCCACCATAGGTATCAAAGGGGGCGGGGTAGAGGCAGGTTGCCGGTAGGAGGAGCGCGGGATTTGATCTAGGGTGAGAATTTGATTCTGAATTGGCGTCTGTTTGCGAAAAGTGAGTGTTAAGTCGTTTCCCCTGCTTGCGCATTTCGGAGCCACCACCCTTGATCCCCTCCTCAGCGTTAATCTCCAGTGAAGAAGTATCCCAGATTGTCCTGTACAGATGCACAAGAGAACGGTAGACCCGTGCACTTACAAAAACGGGTTTCTGATGATACAAATTTGGGATTACGTGGACTTCGATGCAAGTTAGTTTGGTGTTCTACCTGTGTACAGCTCTGTGCATGAAGTTCACAAACCACCACCCATCAGTACATCCTAAAGAATGTAAGAAGGTACTCTCAATCCGTACGAGCGCCGAGGAATCCCCAATCACAAAAATCAAGTTCCTGGTGACTCCCGCTTGTCTCTTAGGACTGGTGAAAGGGGCTCTCGAAGCACGCAGTTTTGCTTATTGCGTGTATTCTTCGCCCATTCATACAATAAATATTCACTGAGCTCATCCTGTGTGCCTGGCACTGTTCTATACATGGGAAGACGCTGGTGAGTAAAACACAAAATTCCCTGTTTGTATTCTAAGAATGACTGTATCTATTCTAGCTGTCTTGGGGTGAAGGAAAGGGGGGAGGACGCAATCAATTTTTAAAATATATGATTAAGGGGCGCCTGGGTGGCTCAGTAGTTGAGCATCTGCCTTCGGCTCAGGTCATGACCCCAGGGTCCTGGGATCGAGCCCCGCACCGGGCTCCCTGCTAGGCGGGAAGCCTGCTTCTCCCTCTCCCACTCCCCCTGCTTGTGTTCCCTCTCTCGCTGTCTCTCTCTGTCAAATAAATAAATAAAATCTTAAAAAATAAATAAAAATAAAACATATTATTAAAATGCATAGTATATCATAACAGATGAAAAATTTAAAACAGAGATGGGGAATAAGGGAAGAGGTTGCAATTTTAAATCTGTGAACCTAATCTCATAGTGAGAAACCTTCATTTCATTTTTTTTTAACACATTGGTTCTTTGTGTTTCAGTCTCTTTACTATCAAGCCTAGAGACAACAATTATTTGGTGAAAATTTAAAGCATGTGATAAACTCACAACCATAAATTTGAAATTTTAGAATCATGAAATTATTATGTAGCAAGGAAACCTTCAAGAAATCATTCGAACTCACCTTTAGGTAACCATCTAAAAACATTCAGTGTCGGAGCCGTGTTTTTTTAAATGTGTTTGTTTTTTATATTACCAGTTTTATAGTGGAACATGAAGTAATGAAAAGAACAAAAAAAAAGGAATCCTTTCCATTATTAAAGATGAGAGTCTATTACATTAAGAACTAAAAGGGATCAATGTTTCACAACCTTGTTTTAACCCAACACACCTTTTTAAAATGACAAATACATTCATAATGTCTCCTTTATTAGCCTAAAATGAAATTCATAGATAATATAACCTGCATACATGCATGATTTGGGTTTAAATCAAATATAAAATATAATATAAAAAGTACAAAGGAAATAATTTATAATACAGTGGTTTCTGTTTCAATATAAATGTTCAGGCATACCCATTCTAGAAAATATAATCAAGTCATAAATCAAGTGGCTACACTTATAAGTAAAATCCCCATGAATGTGAAAGCTACAACTGACAGAGGTATAGTGTTTTCGGCCACCTCTGGTGGACAACACTAATCTGTCCTCAGTGCCCGCTGTAGAGACATTCCTAAAATGTTTGCTGTTAGAGGGCGCCTGGGTGGCTCAGTTGGTTAAGCAACTGCCTTTGGCTCAGGTCATGATCCTGGAGTCCCGGGATCGAGTCCCGCATCGGGCTCCCTGCTCGGTGAGGAGTCTGCTTCTCCCTCTGGCCCTCCCCCCTCTCATGTACTCTCTCTCAAATAAATAAATAAAGTCTTTTAAAAAAAAAAATGTTTGCTGTTAGAATTATGTAAAAATAAAAAACAGCTTTGTGTTCATATGTAAAATAGGTCAAGTTTTGGGTACAGATAGTCATACACAGGTTTTTCACCTACACTGGGGCTTTTCAAAGTTGAGGGACACAAAATAATTTTTCATTGAGGAACAGGCCCACGTTTTGCAAGAAGTCTCGGTTCCGGGCCTCTGCTCTCTAAAGGCCAATAATACCTCCTAGAGTATGCAACCCTAGGGGGCAATACCACACCTGCTGAGGGTCGTTCATTGATAGAGACTACCAGCGGAGAAGTGCCATTTCCTAGGTCGCTAACAAATTAGTGCCCTCTCATGCCAGTCCTCCTTTTACTGCTTTATATTACCAAGTTTTCACGTATATGTATGTATACAGGTTTATCATTTCATTTAGATTTATCCGTATAACATGTAATTCTCTTGTCATTTTAAAAGTTAATTTACGGGGCGCCTGGGTGGCTCAGTCGTTAAGCGTCTGCCTTCGGCTCAGGTCATGATCCCAGGGCCCCACATCAGGCTCCCTACTTAGTGGGAGCCTGCTTCTCCCTCTCCCACTCCCCCTGCTTGTGTTCCCTCTCTCGCTCTCTCTGTCTCTGTCAAAAAAATAAATAAAAATCTTAAAAAAAATAAAATAAAATAAAAGTTAATTTACATGGAATTCTATTACCTGACTTGCGGGGCGCCTGGGTGGCTCAGTCAGTTAAGCGTCTGTCTTTGGCTCAGATCGTGATCCCAGGGCCCTGGGATCAAGCCCCATATCAGGCTCTCTGCTCAGCAGGGAGCCTTGCTTCTCCCACTCCCTCGGCCCCTCCTCCCTCCCCTCCCCCTCCACTCATGCTCTGTCTCTCACTTTCTCTCTCTCTCAAATAAATAAATAAAATCTTTTTTAAAAATAAAGTAAAAAAGAGAAAGGGAAAGAATTCTATATTGACCTGAAAGAATGTCCATGATATATTATTGTTTGGTAAAGAATAAGTAAGTTGAGACACCTGTGTGGCTCAGTTGGTTAAGCCTCCGACTCTTGATTTCAGCTCAGGTCATGATTTCAGCTCAGGTCATGATCTCAGGGTTGTGGAATCAAAGCCCCGTGTTGGGCTCTGGGCTGGGTGTGGAGCCTGCCTAGGATTCTCTCTTTCCCTCTCCCTCTACCCCTCCCCACTGCTCACGTCCATGCATACATGCATGCATGGGCGTGCTCTCTCTTTCTCTAAAATAAATCTTAAAAAAAAAAATAAGTAAATTACAATACAGTATATGGTATATAATGTAAATTCATTTTTTAGAAATAGAAAAGAGGGCGCCTGGGTGGCTCAGTTGGTTAAGCGACTGCCTTCGGCTCAGGTCATGATCCTGGAGTTCCTGGATCGAGTCCCGCATCGGGCTCCCTGCTCAGCGGGGAGTCTGCTTCTCCCTCTGACCCTCCCGATCCTCCCCCCTCTTATGTGCTCTCTCTCTCAGTCTCTCTCTCTCAAATAAATAAGTAAAATCTTTAAAAAAAAAAAAATAAAAGAAAGAAAGAAATAGAAAAGAATCCAAAAATATGTGAATACACTTTCATTCAGCACAGAAAAAGAATAGGTGGATACATACACATCAAATATTTACTGTGTGGTTGGTTACCTTGGGGGATTGCAACTGGAAAGGGCTGGGGGGGAGAATATAACTTTTTCTTTATAAATTGCTCTATTGGTTTATTGTTATGTATAGGAATTCCTTTTAAGCATTTTTAAAAAATAGAAGAATACTCCACGGTGTGGAGAATGGATAGGAGAAAAGCAGGAATGAAAATAGAGCAAGTAATTTAAAGAACATTTCAGGTATCCAGATGGTGGTTCTGATTGGGGTGACAGTGAAGATAGCAAAGAGGTGATGAATTCAAGGTATCCTTGGGGGGTGCCGGGGTGGTGATGTCTGACTCTTGGTTTCAGCTCAGGTCTGATCTTGGGGTTGTGTGATTGAGCCCCACTGGGCTCTGTGCTCTCACTCAACTGGGAATCTGCTTGGGTGTCTCTCTCCCTCTCCCTCTGCCCCTCTCCCCTGCTCTCTCTGTCTCTCACTGAAGTAAATAAATATGTCTTTGTGGGGGAAAAAAGATATCTTCGGCCTTGGTGATGAACTGCGTAAGGGAAGTGTGCGCATAAATGGCTCTTGGATTTTCTGATCTAAATGGCCTTGCAGACGGTGACTCCTTTGATAAGAGAAGAACAGTGAACATTCAAACAGCATCTGGAGAGAATGAAACAGCTTCGTTGAAGGAACTACAGGATGGCAGAGAAGTAACAATTGCACATTTGCAATTGGTGAACTTGAAAATTATGGCAATTGTATTTTGTCCAACTTAGTGATTTTTTTCTAACAGTGCTTATGTACTTGGGTTCTACACAGCAGCAGTGTATAGGTGGGCCTGTCTAGGCTGAAGAGAATGAAAACAGGGAAGGGTTAATGGGCAGCCAGCACTATGGGTTGTTTCCAATTTTGTCAACCTTCATAAATTATTAATATGTGGATATTTTAAATAAATAAAATTTCCGAGTTACTATTGGGGTATAGTCTCAAATGTAAACCTACTGGGTCAAAGGAAATGATCAGTTTTATGTCCCTTGTCATGGCCAGATTGCTTTAATATT